GATATAAATTACAATGGCAGCTCTAGGACAAAGTATGCAGGAGGAGAAGCATGGCAAAGTGGAGATGACTTGGTTGGGAAACGAATCACAATAGTGTGCATTGCCAATGCAATGCACACTGATAACATTTTTAGGACAAAGATGCTTGGTGGTGGTAAGCTACATCGTAGCCATAGCACCGGCACCACCACCAGTAGACAAGGAAGTTGAAGTATAYAATGACTGAGATGGATGGAAYGGGGGATTGAACCGGCAACCCACCTAACCCCTCCACCACCCCAAACTGTAGGATTTATCCAAAGGAAACAGAAACAGGAWGTTGGTTCAACAACAGAGGAGCTTGATAACTGAAAGCTCCGCCTCCCTTTCTACTTTTAGAGCCTCTGGGAACCTTGAGGAAACCAGCCGTCTGMGAGCCAAGTGCTCTGTTAGTCAAATATGGAGCAATAAGATCTGGAGCTTGGTTGTTGACAGATTCAGTGTCTTTGTGCAGTTGTGTTCATACATCTGTTGGTTTTCACTCAGCTGGACCAGAGGACGACTACACGGACTATGTGGCGACCCGTTGGTACCGGGCCCCCGAGCTGCTGGTTGGGGACACTCAGTACGGACCCCCGGTGGACGTCTGGGCTCTCGGCTGCGTCTTCGCCGAGCTGCTCAACGGGAATCCACTCTGGCCGGGGAAGTCTGACGTGGACCAGCTGTACCTCATCCGGAAAACTCTCGGTACGCCGAGGGAAGATTTAACAGGAACTGTGAGAGAACTAAAGAAGACAGAAGCAGAAAAATACGATTTTATGAAACTAGTATTTATTTTCAGTTAGTTTCTAAAAACCTTATTTACCTAAAACATCCACCAGCAAACACAATTATTAAATTTTCTCTTATTTGTATATTTTAAATGACTCATTTCTGACCTCAGGTGACCTGATCCCCCATCACCAGCAGATCTTTCGCTCCAACGTTTTCTTCAGCGGCGTCAGTATTCCTGAACCAGACACAATGGTAGGACTCGAAACAAATACCTCCTTAACCACAAAATGTGATAAAAATATTTTCATAACCCGTTTCCTTTTGTCTTTAGGAGCCTTTGGAAAAGCGTTACCACGGCGCATCTCCGCTTGCTCTTCAGGTTATGAAGGTTTGTCACATTTCTGTGATTCATTTAAACCGTTTTACTCTCGATTTAAGAGAAAAAATAAGTAGCAGCAGTTGTTACGTTTTTTAAATGTGTTGTTAAATATTCAGGTTTTTATATGAGTCTAAATAACAAATTATAAAACATCCATTCAGGTACAGGATTCAGACTGAAATGTGTTGCTTTAATGAGAAAATAATGAAAATATTGAAAACAAGTACCGTATAGGAAACACGATACCTTTAATTACCATGTACATAACTATTACCAGGTATATATCCAGTAATGACAAGATACATACCCGATAAGTACCAGTTCCTTACCCGAAAAGTACCAGGTATGTACCCAATAAGTACAAGTTACGTACCCTAAAAGTACAAGTACATACTCAGTAAGTACACTATATGTACACTAAAGTAGTACCCTAAAAGTACTAAGTACATACCCTATAAGTACCAGTTCCATACCCGAAAAGTACCAGGTACGTACCCAATAAGTACAAGGTACGTACCCTAAAAGTACAAGTACATACTCAGTAAGTACACTATATGTACACTAAAGTAGTACCCTAAAAGTACCAAGTACATACCCTATAAGTACCAGTTCCATACCCGAAAAGTACCAGGTATGTACCCAATAAGTACAAGGTACATACCCTAAAAGTACCAAGTACATACTCAATAACTACACAATACTTACCCCAAAATAAGTACCCTAAAAGTACCAAGTACATACTCAATAACTACACTATACATACTCTAAAATATGTACCCTAAAAGTACAAGTACATACTCAATAAGTACACTATACGTACTCTAAAATATGTACCCTAGAAGTACCAAGTACATATCCAATAAGTACCAGTTCTATACCCGAAAAGTTCCAGGTCTGTATCCAATAAGTACAAGGTGCATACCCTAAAAGTACCAAGTACATACTCAAAAAGAACACTATACATACCCTAAAATATATCCAAAAAGTACCGAGTACATACCCAATAAGTACTAGTTCCATACCTGAAAAGTACCAGGTATGTACCCAATAAGTACAAGGTACATACCCTAAAAATACCAAGTACATACTCAATAAGTACACTATACGTACCCAAAAAGTACCAGGTACATACCCAATAAGTACCAGTTCCCTGCCCGATAAGTACCAGGTATGTACCCAATAAGTATAAGGTACGTACCCTGAAAGTATCAAGTACATACACTATACGTACCATAAAATACATACTCTAAGGTATATACCAGGTACTTACAGGTAGATACATGTTAATAACATGTGTAAGTAGTGAGKGATGAGTTTTTCATGGCACAGTTTCAAAGTTCCTGCAGGATCAGTTGGAGCTCAGAGTTTGTGTAGTAGATGACTCTCAGCTACTACTACACCAAACTTTAGCTTCGTATCTGTAAAATCGGTTGAGTTATATAATTAATGTTCTGTCTTATGTTGATTAGTTATGGCAGCCATCTTGAATTGGAATCTCTCTAAATGTATTGATAGTATTAGTAAATGCTCTCTTTGTGTTGTTGTTGTTTTGTGTGTGTGTGTTTGTGTGTAACCAGTCCTGCCTGGTGATGGACCCGTCCCTCCGGCTGTCCTGCGAGGAGCTGCTGGAGCTGCCGTACTTTCAGGACGAAGGCGGAGCCAACTGGGAGCGCCCGGGAAGGCGATACGACCGAGGCTCCYGGCGCAGACAGGCGGGGGTAAACACGACACGCAGCGGTCACGTGTGCTCCGGTTACTCTGCCTCCTCAAGTCCTGATGATGACGACCTTTTTCCTGCCCTCAGGTCCAGTACCTGCCTCAGCTGCTGCACAGCAACGTCTCACCTGCTCCTGACGTCAAGAAACAAGTAAAACAAAAATATCACCTGCCCAACATAAAAAAATGAACTGACTTTGTAGACGAGTGAGACTGAGAGAATATAAAAGATGGATCTGTGCTCTGCTGTGTGCAGCTTTTAATATGAATAAAATGTATTCTGGTGTTTAGTGAAAAACATTTAGATTCATGACTACAGCTTAAAGTAACACTAAATTTAACATTTTTACACTTGAGATGGTTGTAGTGTGCCATCATCACTTCAGCTAATTTAGTTTCATTTTTTATAGTTTTTGTTTCTTATAAATGCTGTAAAAATGTTACTTTAACATGTAAATGTTGTAACATCAACTAAAATATACAGATGGTGTTTAACTTCATGATTTACTCCAGAATAAAAGTTCGGTGCTGCCATACAAAGCTGGATTTGATGGATTTTACTCGACTCTGCCGCTCATCGACACGCCGCTGCACCGCTAACCCTACCTCAGATCAGGTTCCACCTGCAGCTCTTTGCTTCTCACCTGAGCAGCTGCTGACAGGGTCAAGGTCTCCATGGAGGACCGACACTGACATAATTACAAAAAAGGCAGAAATATATAAATGGACCAATAAATAAAAACACTTAAAATGCACCAATTTTATTAAAAAAGGAGAACTTTAACTAATGTTTTATAATTTAATTCTCCTTCATATTTATTTTTCCAGCTTAATTCCAATAAACTATGTAT